GGTAGAGAGAGGAGTTGCTTCGCAAACAGGTGAAAAGTAGTACAAGGGCTTTACTATGGTCAGTTATGGGAGGTGCCAGAGCCAACTGAACATTAAGACTTGCTCTGCCAGCTGGGGAGAGACTGTTTCCTTTAGCTGTGGAACTCAGCATGGGTAGTGTGAATATAGATTGAGTTTCCCTTTGAAACAGGTTACAGATAATCAGAAGGAAGATCAAGCTTTGTGTCATGGGGTGCCTTCTGCACTTCATTTTTTAGATGAGTATAGTATTTTCTGAACGTTTTGCTTTCCAGCACATTTGATTGTGGCTACAGGCAGGTTGCAGCCTCAGGTTTCCAGTCTTTCCCTAATCTAAAGAGGGGCAAGATACATACAGTATTCTACCATAAAAGCTTAAAATAATTAAATCCTGTTACAAGTTACCGTGTTTGAAACCTTTGCTACAGAATGCTGTATCATTGCAACTCTCCTGGTACTTCAAACATGCCAGTCTGCTTTTCTCTACTCTGCCAAAACTAGAGAATATCATTCGTGTTCCCTCCTGTCCTCTTGCCCTGACTATTTTAAATCCTCCTTAAGTGGCCTCTGCATGTCCTACTTTCCCAGCTGCCATGCATACTAACTCCTGCTGGCAGTCTTCTAACAGGAAAACTAACTGCATCACACATCCTCATACAGTGTTAACATAAGGTTCCCATTCCATATTGCCAGTTAACATGTAAGTGATAGAGCTCTCTATGTCTCTCACTCTTCTAACTCTTTATCTACCAGCACCTTTTATGTCCTGCTTTATCCTCGTTAACAAAAAGAGCTTTTTCTCCTTTGCAGCTGTAGCCATCACCTACTCTTTCTGTCACTCATTTTTAATTTATAATTATAAACCTTTTCTTTTTTCTCAGTTAATGAGTTCTCTCTCAGTAACACTCAACCCTGAAAGCTAATTGCAGTGAAAAGGCAGATAAAATCCTAGAAAAAGAAAAGTTCAGTACTTCATTTTGCCCTGTGGACAGTCCGAAGTTGCTAGCCTTGATGTGGAGGAATGCCTTTCGCTTGTAGTTCAATCACTTGATAAAACACTGTGAAACTTCTGTTTTGGAGGAGCCAGATTTTTTTCACTTGAAGATTAAAGTTTATTAAGCAATGTGCACTTTACAGATCATATCTACTGCTAAAAGGCTTCCATCTGTTTGTTAGGCTTTCTGAATCCCATGTGCTTAAATTATTTAATTGTTTCTGAGGCCTCTTAGAGACTTTACTCTTTATTTTTTTATCCTGGGAAGGAAGAGGAGGCTGCCAAATGGGCCCGTGAAGAGGAGGAGGCCCAGCGTAGACTTGAAGAAAATCGGCTGCGCATGGAAGAGGAAGCAGCTAGATTACGGCTTGAAGAGGAAGAGCGAAAGCGCAAGGAATTGGAACTTCAGCGCCAGAAGGAAATAATGAGACAGAGGCAGCAGCAACAGGAGGCGCTTCGGCGGTTGCAACAGCAACAGCAGCAGCAGCAACTTGCACAAATGAAGGTAATGCTCTACCTTCTTTTTCCATTCATCTAATATGTGTAGGCAAAACCTTTTTGACAGTCCACAGAACTAGATTAAAAGGAATTTAGTTGACAGGGATGAACAGATAGGAGCTGAGTGAAGGTATGACATGATAGAAAAAGAGAGGGAATAGCAGTGTCAGTGAGTGAAGTACAAAAGATAAAAGGGAGCACAAATATTAAAACAAGTGTACAGGAAGGAAAAGAGAGAGACTCAGGCAAGAAGAGCTGTCTGGCTCCCTGCTGAGCAAGAGGCAGTGGGGAATAAGTGTAGGGCCAGAAAGCAGCAGGACCCAGCATGCAGCCAGAGAGCAGTGAGGGAATCCATGCTCGGTCTCTTACTGTTCTATGGCTCTGGGCTGATTTCTCTACCATGCCCTGGCTCAGCAGGGACCCAAGGAGTAGTGCAGGAGCCAGAGGGCAACAAGGGAATTAGGATGAACCAGAAAACACTGCAGGACCCAACACTGTCTGCAGGTCCTCAAGTCAAAGATGAGCCTTCATTTTCCCCATGATGAATGAGAAAATGATTTCATCTTGGAATCAAGTAAATATGGTATGTTACCTTTAAGCTGAATCTTTGTATCACCTTTCTTCAGTGGGTTCCTGAGAATTGTCTCCTAATGTACAATGTCAACATTCTTCAGTTCAAAAAGGATTCTTACTAGCTTGTCTTGTTCGCAGCTTCCTTCGTCTTCGACATGGGGTCAGCAATCAAATTCAGGAGCATGTCAGTCCCAGACCACATTATCCTTGGCAGAAATCCAAAAGCTTGAAGAAGAGAGAGAGCGGCAGCTTCGCGAGGAGGTAAATTCTCATCTTTTCTTCTAGTGTAAAGAAACCCAGCTTGAATTAGTTTTTACAGGTATCTACTCAATATGTGCAAATTTTCTCCATTTCCCAATGGATGACTGATTAACTTAGAAGACAATACTGATTCTTACTCAAATAAATGCTGCATCAAAACTGTTTGTAAATTCACTTTTAGATGAAGACAATAGAACTTTGAGGCAGGTTATGTTTGAGATAGATTCATATTTTACAGCATCTCTAAGAACCCTATTCCATTCAACTCTCAGATTAAAATTTTCAGAGCACTTCAAGATGTAACTGAACTCTCCTTGGTATTTGTTTGCTCTAAATATCTTAGTTTTGTCATGGAAATGTTTGACATTTACTTATCTGGTTGAAAAGTTGACAGACCAGCCTGTAAGTGTTGGGCTTCATGTGCACAGTGGCTGTAGTACTGTAACCAAGATAGGTCTGTGTTTCAAGGGGAAATTTGCTTCTTTGCAAGTCCACTCAAAAGATACAAAGGTCTCACTGTTCAGGGAGACCAAGCAGTTTTGTATATCAGATCCAGAATTATTTCAGCTTCTGCAGAAGTACTTTCAGATGATATTGGGAACTCTCCTAGCGGAAACTTAATCCTTCCAAACTCACTCAGCTCAAATTTATATTATATCCATTGCACATTACTTTTTTTTTTTTTTTTTTTTTTTTTTTTTTTTTTTTTTTTTTTTTTGAAAGAGAGTGTTCCAGTATCTAAAAAGACGGTCTTTTAACAGCGATTTTTTTTAAAATATCAACAAAGGAAAGGAACAGAGTTCTAATTATGATAGCAAAAAGTTATAGAAGTCAAGACCTGGACAAGTACTTTTGGTTGACATTTGATGGGGAGTGAAAGAAGAGTTTGTATTTAAAGCATGTTGGCAGATGAGCTGTCCTTCGTAGTAATGAACCTCTTCCCTTATGCTCTTCCCCAATACTTCCTGAATTGAACAGCATCTGCGATCTCTTCAGTACATGAAAAGACAAATTTAACAGATGCTTGCAGGACCTGAATACTGATAAATTCTTTGCATTCAGTGGCAAAAAGCCTTGATGGATGGGTAACCTGTTGACTGGGCTTTTACCTCTCTTCTAGCAAAGCAGGGGAGTGTCTTAGTTTTTTGATGGATGAGGAAAATTTGTTTTCATATCCTGGCTTAAACCCCATGGCTAGACACTTCTGCTCTGGAGCCTTGTTAGATATAAAGCTAATATCTACCCATGTTGTTTGTGTGCAATGAGTCCTGAGAAAGGTACAAATTGATGTCTGTACCTAGTTCCAGAGCACAAGTGAAAGTGAATACCAAGTCTTTCCTTTCACTTGTCTCTTGTAACATGTGGGGCAGATTAATATCTGTTCAGTTCCTAGGCATCAGAATAATCTTTCATTTAAAATCTTTCATTTCCTACTTTTTTTTAGCATTAGACTAATTAGATGATGGAAGCATCCTTTTGATTCCTGTGAGGGTCTGACATAGCCAGTTTAATTTAGTAACTAACTCTTGACTAACTGGATATCCCAAAATTTGGGAGGACGTGTGTCCACCCAAAATCTTTTTGATAAATTTCATTGCATCATTGAATTATGTGAATTTTTTTCAGATACTTGTCAATACTGTATCAATATCTGTACAGAATAATTATATCACTGATTGGCTTTTCTCTAGAAAAGAAAAAAAGCCTATCCATCTTTTCCCTTTGTATGATGGGGCAGCAGGTGAAAGTGTATCCAAAAGGAACCTACTGATGCACTTAATGTCTTCGGAGATTTAGGAATTCTTTTTATACTTATTATGTTCTGGAGTATTTCACCTTGTGAAATCAAAGCTCTGTTGATTTTTTTACTTTTATAACTCTGGTGAAGAAAGAAAAATTCTCTAATTCTTGTGCTCTGATCCCTATTTTTTCCTTCCACATGCCAGACTTTGAAACAGGAGGGTTTTGTGGATGTTGCTGTTTTTTATTCAGAAAGGCAGCTAGCTGATAGTATTCAACTTAAACCATATTTAATCAGTAGTTAGAAATGGGTAACTTAGTGATATGGTTTAGTGGGCAAGTAATTTGTAGAAGTGAAGTTTTGTGCCAAGCACATCAGTGTTGATGGCAGTTCTTATGGCTTTCCATTTGAACTGAAAGCAGCCAGCATAATGCAACCAGTCTTTACCAATTTATCATTTGCTCTAAAAGCAATAAAAATAGAAAATGATGCTGCATAATTTTTATCCTGTCTGCTTTCATTTGCTTCATGGTCATGCTTAAGAGTACAGGCAAAAAAAAATGATGTGAGGTTTTTTTTTGGTTTTTTTTAAGATAGTGATACTTGTTTTAAGACAGTGAGTAATAAGAAATTGGATGAATGACTGCTTGGGTCATAAGACTCAGACATTTAGTTGCATCATGGGTTAATGAAGGGTTTCTTTTCAGATCTAATTAGTGTGCATCTTTTTGTGCTTCTACTGATGTCTCTAGAAGCACAGTAGTACTGCTGCTCAAAACTAACAGAGCCTGGAATCAGAATTCCTGGACTGTGATCATCTGATGTTTCTTTTTTTGTATGCAACAGCAAAGGCGTCAGCAGCGTGAGCTAATGAAAGCTCTCCAGCAGCAGCAGCAACAGCAGAAACTGTCGGGATGGGGAAATGTCACCAAACCAACAGGCACTACCAAATCTCTCCTGGAGATACAGCAGGAAGAGGCAAGACAGATGCAGAAGCAGCAGCAACAGCAACAGCAGCACCAGCAGCCAAACAGAGTCCGCAATACTACGGTGCCTATCTTTGTTACCTAACTAGTGCCTGCGGAACTGTCACATGCTCTGTTCCTCTCATCCCACCTTTCCTTTTGGTTTGTTGGATGTTGCTACTCTTCCTTCAGACTTGTTGCTAACCAGTAAGCTCTCATTTGTTTTGTTTCAGCAGCATTCTAACCTGCACACCAGCATTGGGAATTCAGTGTGGGGCTCTCTAAACACTAATCCCAGCAACCAGTGGGCGTCTGACTTAGTCAGCAGTATCTGGAGTAATGCTGATTCCAAAAACTCAAACATGGGATTCTGGGATGATGCAGTGAAGGAAGTGGGACCTCGTAACTCGACCAACAAAAACAAGAGCAATGCCAGCCTCAGGTAGGAGTTGGGGAAAGATCTTTTAGTATAGGGTTGCCAGTCTGGAACTGATCTTTTAACGAATTTATACCTTCATTGCATTTGATCGTGATCTTTTAAAATAATTTGGCAACCAGCACCTTATGGTCTGTCCTTAGTCACATTTTTTATTTTAACATCTGAGAAATCATTTGACCTCATGAGCAGTGCTAGCCATTCCCTAAATCAAAGGACTTTTGTTAGCTGTGTACTAGAATTTTGCCTGATTTTTTTTTTTTTTTCTCTTAGTAAATGTTTGGCTGGCTCTGGTATTGTAATATTATGTTTTGGTTTTTGTCTCAGCAAATCTGTAGGTATCACAAGCAGACAGAATAAGAAGGTAGAAGAAGAGGAGAAGCTGTTGAAGTTGTTCCAAGGAGTTAATAAAGCCCAGGATGGATTTACTCAGTGGTGTGAACAGATGCTTCATGCACTCAACACAGCCAATAATTTAGATGGTAAGAATTGGAAGGAATGGCAGCTATATTATGTAACATTACATGAAAGAAGACCACATTAGCATATGCAGAGAAAATACGGAGTTCCACGGAAAAACAACTGTTCATTAACAAAGACAGTGTTTTGGTGCATTCAGCAAGCTGGCATAAGTGGCTGGGAAATGGCATTGCTATAAATTGCACTGTATTCTGTGCCCCACGATTCTCCCTGGGGGGAAATATTGTGGATGGAGTGGGATTAGAACTAATGCCACCAGACTTGGTCACCAATGGTTCACAGATGTTTCAGTGAAAGTGATACAATGCAATTATAAGAAAATTAACCTAGTTATAAATACTTGCAGAATAATTAACTGTCCCATTAAAGCATTTTTTTTAAACATGAGTTTTTAGGAGCTATGCTTTTAGATGCTTCAGTCATAAATTATATTGATTACAGCAGTAGAGCAGAGGATAGCTGACTACCTGTATGGGCCTTTTATTAGTTCTGCTTCAAAAAGACTGTGTTTAGGAACTTCCTATTAGGAGGCTGGTGGGTTAATTTACTCTTCTGAGTGTAGACCTAATTTTCTTCCTCATTATGGAGGGGTAGGAGAAGGATGATGAGATTTGTCTTCCCTTCCTGTACCTATGGAATAATGCAGCATTACATTGGTGGGGCTTTGCTGTTGATAGCTTAACATGAAGAGCTGTATTCCATTGCTGCTAGGTTGTCAAATATTTGACGAAAGAATCCAAAATCTGTTTTTTGCACGCTCACTTACACATCTGCACACGTCTCTCTCATGGTCCATCTTCTTCCCCTCGTATTGCAGTTCCCACGTTTGTTTCTTTCCTGAAGGAAGTGGAATCTCCATACGAGGTCCATGATTACATCAGAGCCTACCTTGGAGATACCCCTGAAGCCAAGGAATTTGCCAAGCAGTTTCTTGAGCGCCGTGCCAAACAAAAAGCCAGTCAGCAACGGCAGCAGCAACAACAGGTGCACATTTGTTTGACATTTTCCTGGTGTAAACAGGTGGTTAAACTTAAATGCTTGATGGTCCGTTCCCAGCCTGTTTTCTGTAACTTTAAAGTATACTGATGTTCTTTCTAGAGACTATGAAGGCAGTGCCATGATTCACTGGAAGGCTGTATCTCTAATAATGTGCGGAGGGGGGAATGGGAGAACTTACATAGCCTTGAATGCAAAAGAGGAAGCATATATTGTGAAATCTTGTAGGGTATGCCTAATTCTTGTTAGTAGTTTAACAGTTTGTAACCTTGCATAAATAACTTCACAGTACAGGATGAGTTTCAGGGAAAAAATGGATGTAAGTGTATTAGATGGACTGATAGACCTGCTACTCCACCTGTGTCATTAAAAGTGACTTGGGATCATCAAAGTACTTCCAGCAAGCAGGCAAAGCTTAGTTGCAGCTTACAATCTAGTATATGCTTGTTTTCCAGGATTCAGTGTGGGGAATGAACCATAGTGCACTGCATTCGGTCTTTCAGACCAATCAAAGCAACAACCAGCAATCCAACTTTGAGGCTGTGCAGAGCGGAAAGAAGAAGAAGAAACAGAAAATGGTTCGAGCAGATCCCAGTTTGTTAGGTAAGAACTGCTACTTCAAAACTGAGGTTGTTTTGAGGTAATGCCCCAGAATCTTAGGATTTGGACATGTTTGGTCTATATCTAAATTCTGCAAGAAAAGTGGTTGAAGCCTCTCTGGAATTGGTCTCCTAGAATTTGCTTATTTAAAGAATGCTGCAGGACTTTCCTGACCAGTGCCCCTACCCCTGTCTGAGGAGGTCTGGAGGTGAGGAATACAATTATCTCTGAGACTTCCCTGTTTCATTAAAGGAACCATGTATATTTTTACTTATTCTATAGAAGTAGAGGTGGAAAAATAAGCATTGAAACCTTTTTGGCAAACACTGTGGTATGTTCGGACTCTCTGAAGAGCAAATTGTAATCCTTTGCATGATCTTTGCTGGCAGTTGCAGTAGACAGAAAATCTGTTTCTTCAGAAAAATTTAAAATACCTAATTCTTCATAATCAATGTTTTTTGCAACTTGTGGTTCTAAGAAGCAGGTTTGTTCTCCTGATGTCACATTGAGACAGTCTTAGAACTACTCACTTTGAAAGTAGGTTGAAAATGTCCAAGAAAAGCCTTGCAGAATTAGGCTGTTAAAAAAAATTATATTACTTTGAAACATTTGAACACCACAATATTTTACCTAAGCATCAGGTATAAAACGTTAATCTGTACTTTTGACATCTCAGGAGGAGCTGATTTGTCTTAAGGATAAAATATTTTCTTTAATTTGATATTTCACCCTTCCTTCAAAATGCCCCCAAAAGCGGTCAATATGTCTTCAGATAAATTCATTATTTCAAATGATATGGCAATTTTAATCATATTTTCTTAAGAATGAGAATAGGTGATACAGATGGGAAGTTACAAAAGCATATTGCAAAACCAAAAAAAAAATGTATTTCCAGACATTTTTAAAAACCTACTAAAAAAATTCTTTTTGCCTTAAATCACAATTAGTAGCTTTAGTTGTCCCCTCATCTTAACTTTTTTCCAAATTGACATGTAATCAAGATTAAAAGCAGATTTTTAATAATGAGAAAAGCCCCTTTAACATCACAGATTAAATAGATGCTTCTCTGGGAATGTTACATATGGTTCAGAAAGCTGAGCTAACTGCCTCTTGAAGTTGGGTAGTTGGTTAGTGCCTGTTTAGTTCTACTTGGCTGTTAACTACTTGACTGCAATGTACAAGTCATATCTTAAATCCTTATTTTAAGAGCCTTTTATAATTTTGTGCTTAGAGCAAGTGCAAATGGTCAATGATGCTGGTGTTGGGAGAATGGTCGTTTGTATGAAATCAAATGTTCTAGTCAGAATGGACAAATAAAACTCTTGAGGGGCCAGACATAGCCAGGCTAATTACCGGTTTGGATTGTATACACTGGGAGTGCAGGATTTGGCATTGGTCTGACACTCTCCTATTCTGGCCTAAATCATTTAATCTTCTTGCCTTAGTTTCTCTTTGTAAATTGGGAATGATATTTATTCTTAACAGAGGTGACTTGTATACAGAATTCATGCATCATCTCTTTCCTAAGACTTTCATCTTTTTGATCAAAGCGTATTCTACTCCTGTTCTCATAATTTCTTAATGGCTATTAAAATCACTCCACTAAAATTTCTAAGCCACAAAAGTCTTGCCAGTACCTTGAATCTCATCTCCTTCTTTCGTCATTATCTGAAGTGGCTTCCTTTTTTTCCTGTGCTTGAGTTGCTTTTTACTTTGTCCTATAATAACTTGCATTTTCTATAGTGAAGCTGGAAAAACCTGTTCTGAACTTCCAGTTTTCACACTTTTTATGCTTCTGTGATATGGTCTTTGCACCCTTCACTAACTTTCCCCTTCACAGCATGTACACTGTACTGTGCACACACTTACTGAATGTCCTGCGTGTTTTTTGTACAATTACTGTCATACCTAATGAGTTGGTGGTTGACACTTGTGATGAATGAGATCTCCATTACATGCCCAGTTCTCCACCAGTTTGTTCCCTTATTTGAGTTCTTTATAAGGAAAACATTTGAATTGTGGAGTAAAAGTTCCCTGCTTCCCCATTTGACTCATTTTTAGCCAGTAGACCACTGTCTTCTGAATAGCCTATTTTTGTGAATAAAAATAGGGGAAATATATATAATAAAAATATGTACAGGCAGTCTTCAACTTTGTTTCGAGTTACAACATTTTGGACTCGCAGCGTTTATAAATTGACATCCTGTTTCAACTTTATGACGTCAGTTTCAACTTTACAACGCTTGATCCAATGCAACACCATGCCAGCGAACAAGTTCGCTGCGTCACTCATCTCCCTGGAGAACTTCTGTCCAAACTTGCTTGGACACTTTCTTTAAGAAAGCAGACAAGACTCCAGAAAAACTTGCAGCCAGAACTCCTGAGAAGACTCCAGCCAAGACCCCTTCACAAAGTCCAGCAAAGTCACCTCAAAGAAGTCCTTGCAAATCAGTATGAGTGCTGTTTACGATATAAATACAGTAAAAGTTCTGTTATACAGCATCCCCCGGGATATGCCAGTTAATTGAGTGGCCCTCGCTGCTGCTCCTCCCACTGCATCTGGGGTGTCCCTCTGCCCCTCCTGTGGCATCGCTACCAACGGGGAGGTGGGTCCGACACAGCCCTACACAGCCTGTTATGCCCCCGGGCCATGAGAGCTCAGCAGCGCAGGCTGCTTTGCCCCAAGCCATGGGGGCTTGGAGAAACCAGAAGTGCCATGGTGGGTACTTCCAGTTCCACTTTATCTTACAAGCCAGCATGCCGGTTAGTGGAGCGTGCCGGATAACAGAACTTTTACTGTACATTAATGCAGCTATATTACTCATCTATAATTGATCGAGTACAAAATTCTGGGGTATTTTTGGTGAAAATAAGGTGTTAGGCCTTGGTTCAGGAACCAGTCTCCCATGTATAACATTGTTTCTTATGAGAAAATTGGTTCTGAGTTACAACATCGTGGTTTCCAGGAACCAATTGTGTCATAAGTCTGAGGACTGTCTCTAGTTAAAAAGCTGTATAGGGGTTTGGCAGCCTAACTCAGTGAATGTTTGCTAGTACGCTGCCTTGTAGGATTTGTCTGCTGCCATTCTCCCCTGCCCCCCTGGCGCCTAAATTGTGGCATGGCATGTGGAAAGACCCCCTCTACTAGAACTCATGCCACCCAGCTGGTGAGGCAGGGAACAAGTTCCCCTCTATTAGAGCCCTCTGCTGATGGTTGCTGCCAAAGGCCAGATCAAGAGGCAGATCAGAAGGCTCAGTGGGCTGTATCCAGACCCTGGGCCATAGGTTGCTGACTCCTGCTTTTCATGCACATGCAATCTCAAAAAGATAAAACATGTCACTTGTATGCAGGTGCATCTCTCAAAGGCAGATGTAACAAACTGCTCTAGCTTTAACACTGCTTCATCCGAGGTTAAAGTTGGAGCATTATTGCTAGTTTGTCTCATTCCCAGATTGTCCACAACTAACAGTTAAAAACATAATGGCTGCTGCCCTTTGAAATGGCTCCAAATAGACATGTGTCCATACCCTCTGAGAAACAGTGGTGGTTGAATAGAAATGGAAATAGCACAGATTTTGGGAGCTCTTGCCAGTAAATCTGCACATTGTTTCCATTAGACTCTTAGCTGTAAATGTGGATTATGTTTGAATTATGTCACTTTGGACTCAGTTCATTCCCTCTTTAAATGCTATTGAGGGATGAGTGTGAATGGTGCTGGAACCATGCACCAGCCATCTGTTCCCTTCACCACTCACTGCAGTGATTCATAGATTGTAAGACCGGAAGGGACCTCAGAAGATCATCGGGTCCAGCCCCCTGCACCAGGCAGGATAGACAAGTGGGGCCAGGTGACCCCAGCAAGGTGACCACAGTGATGAGCAACTTCTGGTTATTTGATGTTTAAGCATTCTTCCTTCTGAGACACGGTATTCAGTCACTTCCCCAACTTGGTGCTAAGATGCAGTGATTATGCAAGTGCCATCTTTTGAATGAAATTTAAAGCCTAACTTCTGATGATTCATCACTGAAAATCCTCTGGTACTAAGTAATAGCTTGCGTTTCCTTATCATATTCCAATTTAGGTAGTGGTATTCTATTTTAGTAAATTCCCCTTACAGTTTTAATGGTATGTGTATTATTAATTTCCTGTCTTAATCAGCTGCTGCATATACTATATTAGAGATAATGCCACACTGGTTCTCTTTTGATTTACAGGGTTTTCAGTGAATGCCTCATCAGAGCGGCTCAACATGGGAGAAATAGAGACTTTGGAAGACTACTGAGCATGTGCAGATCGACCGGCTTTTCCTGCATCTGTTAACCATGGATTCTCCATCTTTGGCTGCAGTTCTTTCTCCACTTTGCATTCTTCTTTGCCTTGCAGTGAATCACAGAATCAATCATCTCAGGCTGCTTTTTCCAGTCGCAACAAACCCTTTCCGCCCAGGACTGCACAGTCATTGGTGTTACTGTCAGCCTAAGGACAACTTTGTTCTGTCTCCTAAATGGGTGGGAGATAGTATTCATTCACAACAAGGCTGCTTGTGACCCGCAAGCTTTCACTGTGTTGTGATTTCTTCTGTTGACTTCTCTGGAAAATCATTTGGGATTCTGCAAATGATAGTTTCCCTCTCTTGGTTATTCGTACCACATCCAACTTGTGCAATCATGGAGAGAGTTTGTGGTTAACAGATGTCAGTCAAAACCAAAATGCCACACAGATACTGACTTCAGTGCTCCATCAGGGCAAGCGGTGCTCTCCATATCCAGGAGTTGCATTCATAAGCTAACTTGAGAACTGGCAACAGCAGGAGAGGGTGGTGGTGGGCAGAATTTAGCTTGGATTGGTTTGAAGTTGCACACCCCCTGCCAGCCCTTCTCAGCACATTAATTTTGGAGGGAAAGCTCGAGTCTGTCTTCAGTAGGTGGTGATGTCAAAGCTACTGGAGTTCTCCCTCCAGCACACTCCAGCCTTCCTGGACAAATGAGGACTCTTAATCTGGGGAAGGGGAAGTCTCTATCTCTTTTCTTTCAGGTTGAATTTACTCCCTTCAGTAGTACCTTCAGAGGGATAAGACCAGTTTATCTGGGGCTCTTCTGCCATGAATTTGTCTCGTTTCAGAGATAGCTAGGATCTTTCCCATATGTATCTCTTGCATGGGAGTAGATACTGGTTTCCACATCTGTATCCCTAACAGTCTCAGCTGACTACATATGGCAGTGATTCAGCATTTCATTACAGCAGCATTCAAGCTAAGAGGCAGAGACCTCTCATCTTTGTAATGGAAAGAGATTATAAGAAAACGGACCTGAATTTGACAGCATCTGAATTCCTGGAAACTGAGGAAAAAGGAAAGTGAGGTGTGCAGTGACATCCCTGATTACCTACCACACCTTCTTACTTAATATCCATCCCTTCATTTCAGGTCCGTAATTACTTATGAATATTTATGGAACATAACTCCCCTCCTCCAAAAGATATTTAAATTAAGAAAAAATGAGAAACATCAACATCAGTCTGAAATTGCCAAATGCACTTAGCTTCAACATACATCCCCTGGTCCCAGCTTCTATTCCTGGAGGGCTGCAGTATGCCTGTAGGAGAAATGCTGCAGCTTTGGTGGAGCTGTATGAAGGGTGCTGTCCTTCTGTCATCACTGCCTGAAGAAAGCCACTCGAGTTGCTCAAGAGCAGTTTGGCTTTGGATTTTATTTTGTTTGGTTTATTCATTTTTTGGGGTCACCCTCCCCTCCTCCTCTCTCTTCCCCCTCTCCCCCAGACATGTACAGTAACTATACAGAGACTGCTGCAGACTTGTATATAGTTTTTGGATCCAGTAGCATGGAGAGACTTGGAACTGTTGCAGATCTGGTCTCCCTGTCTCCTTTGCTTTGTAAATTCATAAAGGGGGAAGAGGGGTAGTTAAAATGTTTACAAAACTTTAAACTCCCTCTGAACTTTTGCCAGTGTGGAGGGAAAAAAGAGAGAACTTAAATAAAACCTGGTTGTATTATATCTGAGAGCGCATTTTCTGCTTGCTTTTGTCAAAGCCGAGTTTTGAGATCATTCCTGGTGCTAAAGCAGACCTGAAACTTGACTCATTACTTTTCATCAAGCAACAACAAGCAAACACACAGGACACGGAGCAACAACCACTGCTTTATTTCTTCCCTCCACAGGAACGCTGGTGGTTTTTCTACTTGATCATTTTAGAACTCAAAATAAACAGCAGTAAGTTGAGATTGGAAAATTCTGACAAGAAATCTTCAATCTCCTTCCTTCCTATGCACAGATGCATGCATTCACACTCTTGCCTTGTTTATGCAGGAAAGATCAAGCACTAGTTAGTTTTCTGTTATGAATTGTGCACACACAAAAAAGGACTTGATGTATAAGTAAACCAGAAAGCACTCCAGTTACCCTCACTAAATAAGGGAGAGACATGTCCCCATGGTCTGTGCTTCAGCAGGGCAGTGTGTTCCCTAAGGGCTCTTTGTATACTTCCCATCTTTAGATAAAATCATACTTGTTTCTCTCAAAACAAGCACTAGCTGTCATCTGTTGCTTGTGTTTTTCCTGTGCAAAATCCTGCAAAATTGAGGACATGTAGTGAAACAGGTAATTAGTCTTGTATCATTCATGTGTAAATAGCAAGTCAGTTTAACTTTGCCAGGCTATCATAGCAGTTTAATTTCCTGTTTGCCTAGCTGTGCTTGTTTCCTACAGACATGGTTAAACTTTAACTTTAAATCAGATTTAAAGTTGTTTCATAGTTGAAGCGTGTTCTAATGGTCTTTTTCTATAAATGTTTCTTAAATATTGCAAAAGAGTCACTGGGCATGTGACCTATCAATGGGTGCCATAGCTGTTATGAATTACGTGCTCATGCTGGAACGGATTCATAATGGAACACGAGGAAACATGGCCATGGTAATCTCAATTTCAGCTGGGGCAGAGGGGTGTAGGGATCAGTGATTGCTAAATGAAAAAGGCAGAAATCTGGAAAGGTTCCTGGGAATTTAAAGTGATGGAGATGATGGGAATAGATTCAGTGTACTGTCTCTGGAATTTAAATATTCTGGCATCCTTCACACACCCTTTTCAGGATGGTGCTGAGACATAGTAAATGATTTCAGGCAGCCTCGCTGTTTCCTTGCCTATTGTTTAGAAAACTGGCACAAGCCTCAAGAATGGTCAGGATCACCTGGGTTAATGTGTGTGGTAGAAACTAGGAGCTGGAGCTGTCATTCTGGGATAGGGTGTAGCTTGTACGTGGCTAACCTGGGTTCTAGTTTAGGGTTTAGGCAAGGCAAGGTTTGGTGTGCCTTTTAAGTTACCAGTTGAGTGACAATGACTTAAGATCTCAGATACCTCTCCTGATTTCCAGTAGGGAGTTCTGAAGCAAATTGTTTCTTAATTTCCCACTTCCCTGTGGTGACAGCTTTGAGTCTTCTGTGTCTCACAAAGAGATCCTGGAACAAAAGTTTGCAGATGAAATTTAAAATAATGCCATTTTGCTGAGAACGGAGTATAAGGATACTCAAAGATTCAAACTGTATGGATACCTTTTCTGGAGAGAAGTCAGTTGTTTCTCTGCAGCTTAACGGTAATCTTCATGCCAGTTAAAAATGTATTTTATGGATCCACTGCAGGGAAGTCTGATGAAATTGTTGCCTCTACCAGTTCGCTGGAATACTCTCCTTTTTTGTAGGATTCATTCTCAGGAACTCACAATTGCAGTGCTTGCATGGGTCTCAGTCAAAAATCTGTATTTTTTCTGCTAACGACTGTCTTTCTCAAGCACATCTGAGAGAAAAGAGACTGATAGAGGAACACATGGAAAAGAAGTCATTCAGTCTAAATCAGGGTAGGAGGGGGAGGATTTGTGGGGCTGTAATGTTAAGTCTCCCCAGCAACATCAGATTTTAGTAGAATTTGACCCTGATAAGACCACGCACTGCTCCTCAATCTCTTGAGTATTAGGTCCAGCAAACTAAGATGGCAAGGACTTGCTTTAATTCTGCTTCAAAGCATTTTGAACCTTAAAAGATTGTGTGTGTGTGTGTACGTGTATGTACCAGTCTGGCAAGGATAACTGATTTCCAACAGTCCAGCTGTGCATGGAGGGGAGGGGGGATTTTTTAGGCATGGTTTTTAGAGGGTGGAGCTGCGGTCTTCAGGAGAGAGGTCTGCTCAACCAGTCAGTGTGTCAGTCTCTGCAGGAGTTTGCAGAGACTGTCTGCATCCTGATGTGAAGGGATTTGTGGCCTGACTGGGCAAAGTTGTTTTTATGCTCGTGAAGTTTCCAAGCATTTCAATACTTTGAAAAGTTGAAGAATTCCTTCCAGCGCCTTGTTCCTGGAAGAAGCGATGCCCCACCACAGAGTTCTTCACCTGGTCCTGCTGGCACTCGCTGGAGTCCTGGTCCCTGCTGTGCTAACAGGTAAGCGCATGTGTTTGTATTTACAGTCTGAACGAGCAGGGGACTAACCTCCTTTTCTCTCCTTCCCCACCTTTCATTCTTCCCCCAAAGATTTGGTAGGTGCCCCTTATAATTCAGCAAGTCGTCTTGGAATCAGAGTAGTTAGTGTCAAAGCAAGATTTCATCTACTGTGAGAGACCAGGGATCTTGTGAGGAAGGAAGAAGGGTACGTTGTGGGGAACCCATTGTATCTTCAAAAATACTGCTACAGTGCAGCTTACAAATAGGAATTGCAGCAAGCATGGATGGCAGCGTGCTCTGCAGCCAAAGAGAAAAGTTTCCTGCTCTGAATCTGAAGTTAAAATTAAGTTTAAATGCCTGTCACTGTTACTGTTTTCACCTAGCTTGGACAAACAAAACAGACCAGTCAGTTTCTGGGTATTTTCATTGTATGGCTCAAGTACACAAGCAGTTGATGGCAGTATTTGGAGTTATGAAGAGAGGAATTTAAGAATAGTGAGGAGAAATGGCTGGATTCTATAAAATTCTTCTTAAGAAATGCAGGCCCCTTTAAAGCTGCATGTAAGAGCTGAGGCTGGGAATGCATTTTATTCTGAGGTTCAGTAGATGGTTGGTCAGGCCCAAAAATAAAGCAAAGAGGGTGTGCGAAGTGCCTGGCAAGTTGTCTCCCTACTCTGTAAAGCCCCATCTGTAATGAGATTCTTGGAAAGGATTTCCCACAATGTGCCATCTAGTAGGGTCTCAGCAGAATTCGATGGTCAGTGCAGACTGAGGATGACATGGTCCTTTGCAACATACTCCGCCAGTTTGGTCCAGCACAGTTCATTTGCATCTTGCACAAGGAGCAAGGTCTTGACAATGTCTGGCAGATTGCTGTACAGTAGATGGACCATCTTGTTTCCAGGAGTGTTCACACCAGAAGTTTAATCTGTTAGATCAGGATGCCACAGTGTCCGTAGAGGCAAGTGCCCAGGTAACTCACTCATTTTGTATTTGTTCCATGTAGAGATGCTAGCTGCTAGGGGGCATTTTAAATAACAAAAACATGCAGTATCTGAAGTAAGACTGTCTGAATCTGCAGATGCAACATGCTCATCATTTAGCACTGCATTCTAGTTTTGTAATCAACTCACATCTCCTAAACAGTAGTTTCTGTTAAAGAATAGCTATGCATGGAATCTACCCCACCTTGCAAATGCCTACTGGTTATTTTTTAGTGAAACCTTAAAACTGTTGCCCTCTGTGAGCTAAAAGTTAACATGGACACAGGATATGCCATACCCCATACCCACCCTGTCACAACTATAGAGCTAGCCCAACTGCAACAGATTTTCCAGCTATATTACACCTGACTGTAACTGCCTCGTTTATTCCTTCCTAATTAAACTTTGCCTTTTCCCAAATACCTCCTGCTTCCTGACACCAAGAGTGCTTGAAGAAGCATGTATGTTGCTTTTTAGCAGAAAGTCCTTGGCTTTTGGCAAATGCATCTTTTCTTGCTGGTTTGATCTCCTGGGTTTGTTCTTCTCTGGTATCTAGTAGGGCCTCGGGGAACCAGCTTTTGCAGGAGCGTACTGCCTCAGTGTATAGGAAGGGTTATTTCTTTTTCATTTAAGGTTTGAGAACGTGGTGCAGCTTTTTTCTGTATTTCAGCCTATCAGAAAAGGAAATTTCTTGCCAAGACAGGGAGGGGGGACAGCCAGCCTTCTGGCCTCCATATGTGTGCACACGGCTCCTGCCTTTCTGTAAACAAGTTTATTTAACATTTGGCATAACCGCAGCACTCCGGGCTGCTGCACACTTGGGCTTCCAGAGTTTATAGCATCACAGACTGCCCTTTGTGCTTCCCATGAAGGGCTCTTTTCATTCTTCCACTGGCCACATGCCCATCGTGGCTACCTGGGGCTGGGCAGCCCACTTCTGGCCTCAGGGTTCACCCAACCCCTGCCCTTTGGTGTCAATGTCTCTCACTCATCCTCCATAGCAAAGCCCTCCGAAGTGGGCAAGATGAGGCCAGTCTCAGACCAGAAGAGCATGTGGTGTTTTGAATCATGCAGGCCAAGTTTCCTAAGCAAGTCTTGGCCTCCACTTACTCCCCTGCAAGATTTTCTTGCTTTATTCCAGTGATACTATAAACTTCTGTTAATTTAGGGATCAAATTAGGGATTAGGTGAATTTAGGGATTGTCAAGGCGGAATGAAGACTGGCTGGACTCTGGTTGCCATGTGTGCATTGGAAGACTCTGACGTTTCCAATGCACACATGGCACTTGTTGCCTATATTTGGTGTCAGTGAACTGACAGTCTTGATCAGGAGTCTTGCTCATCAGGTTCAGCTTCCTGATGTCACCAGTGCTTCATGCTTTTAAAGAAGAAATTTGGTTCCTGGCTCGCAAGTCCAAGTTTTGTTAACATCACTGTGTCTAGGAAGGGCAGGGAACCAATTGAGCCCCTGATTCTAGCACTTTTGTCCAGCTCTGACTGAAAGCACGTTCAGACGTAAGAACCCTCGATGTGCCAAAGTCCCAACTCGAACTTCTCTTTTGCCTTACACAATTTACCCTCTCTGCCTCCATTTGCCCATCTGAAAAATAGGATTAACCCCTGATGGATAGGGTGGCAGGGGGGAAGAAACGGTTGTCAAGATTCAGTTTTGCTCCATTAGCAGCTGCAGAAACTTTGTTTCAGTCTATCTGTCCTGTTTTTTTCCAACCTGGAAGATGCTGTAAAATGTTGTGTGGGCCTCCTGTAGCATGTGCTTACACAGATAGGTAACACCATAATGAACTACTTCAGACTGAGCAAAGTTAGAGGCATGTTATCTCCTGATAGCATTGCTCTAGATGCATATCAACACAACAGCTATGTACCAGAACACCACTTTTATTACCCAGGAACAAACTGCCAAAGCAAAGACACACCTGAGCAAAGGAGGAGACTTTGACCTGCTGTGGCAAATGATGTACTTCTGTTCCTTTATATTAAATTTAAGTTAGGGTTATAAATAGATATTAATTTTAAAGACTATTTAAAAAGTTAAAAAGCAAACAGTAGAATGTGAGGAAATGCAGAAAAAGTTTTTGATTAAAGTTTTGGTTTTTATTAAGGTAAGAGTTTCAACCAGTTCAGGGTGGCTTTAGGCAGACTTACATAAACTGTTCTCAGATGCAGTTGGCAATAATATTCTTGTAAACTCCTGTCCACAGTTTAATCTCTTTTTTCTAGGCACATCATCTGCTGAATCTACAAGGAACAGATATCCTTCTTTAAAAATAAAAAATGCTATTTTCTATAGATAGCAAGAGTCTGTAGTAAGGAATTAAAGTCCCTGAATTAAGGAAGGACCATGAAGCCTCCTTTTTCATGACATGAGCCCAACTCTGAATAATAAGGGTTAGGAAGCAGATTATTCCATAACTACTATGTGCTGGGCTGTCTTGTATCTTTCTCAGAAGCACCTTGTTACTGGTGACTTGAGCCAGCATACCGGCTTAAAATGGGAGCTGGTCAGAACATACAGAGTGTCTTATGTTTTGATGTCCCGTGGTCCGTGTATCTACGTACTTGTATGATCTTCCTCTCAAACATTGATGTAGCTATCCTGGTAGTTGTCCTCTGCTAAAGTGGGGAATCTTGTTTTAATACCACCCTTCAGACAGGACACGTGAATCGAGAGGTGAAATCAAACCTGTGCAAAAAAAAGTGGATCTCTACTGATGGTCTGGTCAAGCAACAGTGGTGGTGTTAATTTGGCCAGCAGCTCAATAATGCTGATCATGAGATCTTTTACCACTGGTCTGTAGAGCCCTCATAACTTCTGCTTCCTACTTGTTTGGAAAGACTCCATATTTGGTCATCCTTCTTGAAGATTGGGGACCTATAGACTCCATCCTTACACCCCTTATTCACTGTGTATAAAGCATGGGTTGTCCAGTCACATACACACTCTGCTGATACTCATCCTGTCTTTCTCACTGAACCTTGACCCTGCTTTTCATAGTGCCTGGCAGAGATAAGGAGGACCTCAATGGAAATGGCTAATGAGATGGAAGTGTTGGGAGTGTCAGGGTTCATACAAGCAGTAGCAATGAGAGATCTGACTATCCAGGGTGCTCCAGGCTGGGAGAAATACCTTACTGAAAACTAAGTGATTGCCGAGAAGTGCATCTTTGTGTAGCCTTGCTTAAGTGTTTCACCTCTGGAAAATAAAGGTCATGTGGCTGGAGTCCCTGTGTTGGGTCTCTGTGTGGTCTGCCACCCTTAGTTATTCACATTTCCTTCCTTTCTTTTGCAGCCTACATCATAATTGGTGTGTATTGTACATAGGGAGAACACACACTAGAGGTTACCTTGCTGAATTCATGCTGACCTGTATTAATAATAAACAGTAAGGAAGCGAAACCATCTCTGTCACTTGGCCATTCTTAATGAGGTAATCTAGTTCAGTATTTTCATGTTATATCAATGCCATGTTAAACCCTTTTAATTAACCCTCTCCCCTTCTTCCTGCCCAGTAAACTTTTCCTATCGCCAAACTGCATTTTATTCTATTCACTTGGCTGGTACATAGCAAAACAGCAGTTATGTCCAGTTGGCACTCTGCCCCTCAAGGAGTGGGTTAGCATTGTCAGATGGCTTTATGCGAAACCATATGTATAGTGCTAAGTTCTCCTTAATGATCATACAGTCTTAACCCAGTGAAACACCCTGGGGCTTTGGACACCAGGTCACCATAGTTGGTTTCAGCATGGTTACATAGGTGTGACTGAGACAGTTCACTGTGTTAGTCTAAAGTCAGGTAGAAGGTAGGACAGGGTGGCACTTAATGGGTTATCTGTTATGGGTGTAACAGAAGCTGAAAGGGTGACATTCACCCCTGAGTAGAGGACCATACCCTACAAAAGGCCTTTGCATTCAGGTGGTTTTTACCCAGAGAAAAAACTGTTCAACATCAAGTTGTGGTTTCTGTAGTCATCAGCAGCAAGACTGAATGCTTGGGTGGTCAGTGCTGATTTGCCAGAGCCCAGAGAGAATATAAAGTAAGTTTTGGGCTTGTCTTATGTAATATTTGGGTGCCAAAAGTATACACTGTCCTTTCTATGCTAAACTTTGTTGTTAGTAAATGTACATCCCATATTGGGTTTACATAATTATTTTTATTTAGAAAAGAAATGTGCCTAGCTTACACACTACCATAGCACTTACAGGGCCCAAATGATGATCAGTCTCCTGTGACTATCTACTGTGATGAAATAACTTCAGTCTCAAGGTCTGGTAAGGCATTCTCCCACTGAATGATGTAACAGCTGAAGCCACAGTTGCATGTGTGAAGCCATGTCTGCTGCACAGATAAAAAAGCATGTGGTTTATAGGTGTACTCACTTGTATGCAGCACACTATCTTGTTCAGATCCCAAAGTACTTTGCAAAAGAAGTCAGAATCCTTATCCCAATTTTACCAATGGAAAAACTTGAAGGATGAGGAGAGAAAGTGGTTTGACCTGCCCAAGGTCATCCAGCCAGTCAGCAGCAAAGATGTGGAGATAGAACCAAGACCCCTGACTCAGTCTGGCACCTGCGACACTGTCCTATATAATCCTAAAAATAGGGCTGAAAGGGTTACAAGCATGTATATACAGGATTTTTTTTTAGTTGTCTGCTAACTTCCCCTTTGGGGCTTTTTGGATGTTATATTGGAACCATTTTCATAGATTTCATAGACATTAGGGCTGGAAGGGACCTCAGAAGATCAAGTCCAGGCCCCTGCCCCATGGGCAGGAAGTCAGCAGGGGTCATATGATCCCAGCAAAATAAACATCCAAATGTCTCTTGAAGGTGTTCAAAGTAGGTGCTTGAACCACCTCTGGCGGCAGTCTGTTCCAGACCTTGGGGCTTCGGACTGTTGGAGCATCTATTCAGTTGACCCCAGACTTAAACTCGGTGTTTTTTCTTGTTTTTACCAAAGAAATGAGTGAGAGATGCTGTTTAAATGTTGCTAGTGAAGGATCTGCTTGTCTTGTCTAAAGCCAGGAACTCCAGAGCTAATGCCTACACTGTTACTGGCCACTGAAGTAGGATGGGCATGGACAATAGCTACTTCTCATCTTTGAAAGCAACAGATCTGGGCAGGGTCTTGTGAAGACAAATTGTTCAGCCTCATTTCAAAAGGGCAGGAACGGGGATGTCTTTGAGTCTATGTGAGTTTGGAAGGGGGAAAAGCAAGGGCAAGTCATCGAAAGCACGTTACTAGTATAAAAACAACTGCATGCTGCCCAAGCTGCAGGGCTTCTGCTCCAGAGGGATGAACTCCATTGGCATCTTAGCTTCTTCTCTTGTGCTGATCACAGCAGAGGCCTGCACAAGACTGGTAGTGTGACTGCAGCATGGTTGTATGTGTCAGCGCCTGCATGTTTGTGTCTTGGTTCTTGTTCTGGGCTGACAACCAGCCTCCAAAACAGGCTGAAAAGAGGTTGTGTTTTCCTTATTAACTGAAGTTCTGTTAGAGTGAAACCACACAAACTCAGCAGAAAATTCAGAGTTAATGCACGTTGTCCAACCCCCAGAGGGGAGCTGTCATAGTTTTAATTGCACAAAAAAATTACCAAACTAAGGTACAAAAGCAGCAGGATGTAAATTAGAGCCAAAGCAGCTATGCAAAGTAAAAACATTTGAAGTGAACGAGTTCCCCCTTGGATTAACTGTCCTGGAACTGAGCTTTGCACCTCCCGCACCAGCTGTTACCCTTCATGGCAGCCACTGTAGATCGCTACAAGGATTCAGGAGTTAGACACCTCTAACTGCTCTTAGAGAGACGCGCAGTGCTGCATCCTGTTCTGTCACTACAAGGGGTCTTTCTGTGGCCGTGTTAATGGCATGCATCAGAGCCAGACTGCTCTACACAGTCACTCTTGGAACAATCCTTTTTACTGACACCATATCTAGTGCACAGAGTCCCCAGGAACAGCGTGTGTTCCCTGCCAGGAGAGCCTCGTCTTTCCTAACCCAATTGTGCATGAGGACAGTGTGCTGCTGTATTTGCTTTGAAGTTGGGAAGGTCCTTGCCATTAAACAATGCTCTCTCCAGGTGAGCTGTGTTTTTTCCCAGCCACTAATGCCTCCAGTGTTAGGGCTGGCACTAGTTTTGCTGGCATGGCAAACAAAGATGTAATAAGTGGTAATGGGCTGTTCCCCGACTGTCAAAGCAGTTTAGAAATGGGGCTTAAATTGTGCCGTTGGCACTAATTATAAATAACCCCTGATCAGTTTGGTTCCTTGGCCCTAATGAAGTTTTACCCCTAAGTCTCTCATTGTTCTTGATCTGTCCTGTGGTGGCTAAAACCCCTGGCTGGCTAAAAGGGATGTCTGTCCCACTAATCAGCATATACCAGGCACCAGTAGGTGGCTCTGAAAAACGTGCTGCATTGTCAATTAGTTGTTTAGGACCCAAAGCACGGTGCTGTGGGCATGTCCTCAAGGCTACGTGGAGTCCTGGCACCCTCAGGTCATGGTATTTTCTGTCAGCCTTTCTAAAGACCCTCCCAGGCTTTGCTGCACTGATGGCACCCACTCTGTCTCCAGTTACAAACTGCTCTGCAGCTCCAAATATAGGGCTGTCATTGGGAAGGGGGTGGAGGACCTGGGTGCCCAGCTTGCTGAAGGTTAATACATTAATTAACGTGGTACTTATTTGCAGCGTCCCTTTCCCTTACTTTTCTGGTGCATGGACCATGAGTTGTATGACATAGGAGTGCCTGGTCCCCACTGAAATGCCTTCTGTTGTCAACAAGCCCAGCCCTCGCTTGGAGCACATGAGATTCTGGCATTTTGCCCTCTGCCCAAAGCCCTCCTGAGCCGAGCAGCATGTTCTACCAGTTGCCCTGGACATGGCTATGGTTTTCTCAGCACAGGAAGCGGGGCTGTTGGTGTTAGCACCCATGTTGCCCTCTTCTCCAGCCCAGATAACTGTATCACCAGCTTAGATGTCCCTGGCCTTGGCCACCCTGTTTGATTTTTCCATCCCGGTGTGACATTCCCGGTGGTTTCTGCAGGGGCCTGTGGAATGTCTGCTGTTCTCACTGGGGCCTCTGGGTTGTCCAGCCTGAACAAAATGAGCATTGATGCTGATGGCCAGACCCAGCCACATGCAAACAGGAAAGACTTTTAGGCTCAACCAATCCCTCTGGGAAAAGAAATAACTGGGCACAAGCTTGCAACATCAGAGAGAACGCAGTTTCCTTTTAATCTTTTTGGAGCGACCTGGTGGGAAGGTCTAAAGACTCCTGTCTGCTGCTCTTCCGGGGGGATACGTCCTGCCTGAACTGCTGCTGCTAGGGCTTTTTTGACCCCTTCAGGCTGAGAGCTGCTGTTAACACTGGCATCTCCATTGCATCTGGGAGGGGACAGAAGCCTGAAAGCTTAACAGCCCTGAACAAACACAATGGTTCTTTTCCATGTTGCAGTGCACTGTAAGTACCTCCAAACACTGCTTATTGGTCACACAGGCACAAACCCATTAACACAACCTCTGACATGCAAAACAGGGCTTGTTCCTCTGCAGGCAGAACCAAGCAGCCAGGAAAAGTCGCTTGCAGATGTGCTCAGTGCAAATGCAACAAGCCATAAAGGTTCAGCCTAGGGGAGAAGTAACATCGCATGGATCCACCAGGCACCCCTGCCCAAGAGCACCAGTGCAGCCTTAGACTGTGCCCAAAGTAGCACACGTGTATGGTGTACGCTCAGCACTTTTTCTAGCAAACACGTTGCCACAGTGGGGTGTGTTGAAACATTGATGCGTGGGAGCATTGTCTTCCAGAGACCTTTGTGTAATGGTGGTCTCTTCAATCGCTGTGCCGCGGGCTGTGCTTACCGTTGGACTCTACCAATTTCCACCTTCCACCCTGTTATATCCCAGTTGCCAGTTCCCTTCCCCCGTTTACCTTTACAGAAGCCACCTTTCTAATCAGTCTCAACTGTTTCCTGTGCTGTTTGCTGGATCACAAGAGAACTCAGCTGGCTGCTTTTAGTAAGGGAATGGGTTACACTGGGATGTTGCTACTGCAGTTGGCATTATAGCCATGTGTCCACAGACAGCCCAACTGCCTGCTGCTCCTCTAGCCTCTCACGCCTAAACTATTTTTTCCCACGCTGGTTACAAAAGCTGATTCCAGTTCTAGCACCTACAGTGAAATCCCTGGAAGCTTTGCCACTTGGGCCTGGATAGCAGCTCTATGCTTTGGGCCAGGCACACCCTGCTTCCTTCCAGCAGTGTGGTTGTCAGCTGATTTTCCTCTGCTCCACCAAGCAGCTTTTTCTGCAGGGATATGCAGACAGTGCCCTCATTACTGGGGCTGCTCTTGCACCTCTTGCATGTGCCATTTAAACTATTGCAAAGGGGATTTTTCAGCTCATAGATCCCTGGGTCACTTGGCCTCTACTGCCAAATTTGCCCTGCATTGCAGCTCCCCCAGGGTCACTCATCCGCAGACAACTGTCACCACCTCAACCACATGTTTTTCAGAGGGAGGAAATGTTGGCTTCAGAAGCACTGGGCAAAGGCCCCTCTACAGGGTGTCCTGGTAACAGCTGTTTTCTCTGCACCTGGCTGGGCAGGCAGGGATCCACATGAACTCCTTCCAGTGCTGGGAGGGAAAGAAGGGATCATCCAAGGGCAGTGACAGAGATCTGTGCTTGCATTGCAGCAGAGCACCCACAGGGGCCAGTCCCCACACTGTGGAACGAGCCACCGGAGCTACCTTCGGGAGCAGGCCCCTTTGACACTACCACCGCAGCCCACGTCTCCGACTCCACAGGCTTCCCCCCTTACACCTCGGAGTATGAACCCAAGGACACAACCCACCTCCACCGGCTGGATGATGGGAATGGTAGGTATAGATCTTGCTGTACTGAAGTCTGGGCAGCCTCCCTTGAGTTGCTGCAAAGGCTCTGCCCTTTCCACATAGACACCTGCATTCAAGTCTTTTCATTGACAGCAAATGTTTACCTGGGTTTGGGAATAAATCTTGAATGGGGCTGACTTGGTCCTGAGCCAAGTCTAGTGCTTTGAACCAGCTGGCTGGGGCTGTGGTCTCTCACAGGGCCAGATATTGGCCATAGAAGGCATCCAGCTGTTGTTCTGCACAAAACAAAGGGCTTCTCAGCCCCCAAAAATGCAGCCCAATGGGGTGAGCAGCCCCGGGAGGCTTCCTGACTCCAGCAGGAGAACAGGTGGGTATAGGCAATGTTCTGTTTGCTCCAGGTTCGGTGCTTTGATTCCTGCAGGTCTCGCTGTCAGTTCCCCAGCCTTTGAACCTAGTTGGAAAAGCCAAATCATCTTGGCTACTTAAGGCTTTCCCGATGCCCCGAGTCTGTGCTGTGGTTTGTCAAACCATCTCTGGTTTCTTGCCTAACAGGAGCCTTGTTCTTGGCAGTGGAGAAAGCAAGGAGTCAGTTCTCCTTACTGATTATACTTTTCTCTCAACCCTGGCCAACACCTCAGGCACTCCTTTACCTTGAGTTGTTTTCCGGGAGCCTGGTGCCCTGCCTGATAAGGGCACCTGTGTGTCTTTGCTTTCTTCATTCACCCAGCACTCACCTCCTCTTTGCCTTTCCCCACAGTCCTGCTGCATCCATGCAAGAGCCTTATCTGCAGCTCCTGCCTGCTGAAAATCTTCCTAGGTTCGCTCTGTGTGTGGATCAAGTTGTCTTCCCACTCCATTGCTCTCCTCCCTCCCTACTGTCTTTTCTCCCATCTCTGAATCCCTCCTAATTATATCTGAGTAGCACAAAGCTAGTTGGTATGAATGCCTCTCCAGAATAAAGCTGTCTGGTGAGGCCAGGTGGAGGCTGTCTCCATGCTAATCACAGCTCTTTGTTAAAGACTTAAAGGCAGCAGCAGTGCACTGAAGCAAACCTTTCCCCATGGGCTTCTGAAGTCTGTAGCTAGTGAACTTGGGACAGACGGACAGGAGGAGGCTGAAAGGCAGCAAGTTCCCTGGTGAGTCGTAGGGAGAGTAGATGGGCTGGTAGGGGGCTGTGCTCAAGCCTTCCAGCAGTTAGAGGCTGGCCAGCTGACCAGTCACCTCCTTCATGGCAACTGTCTCTTGACTTGCAACACAATACCACCCTTGAGGAGGGTGGCTGGCCAGGGTCATGGTGTCACTCCTTCTAAAGGTTCTTGGGGAAACCTCAGAGCCCCAGTTCAAACCACTCCCCTGGATGCCTCTGTCAGGTCAATGGACCTTTCTCTGCTGCAGTCACTTGATCATAGCTCACTGATCAGCTGAGAAGTGATGTTGCTGCAGAGAGGGGGTTGGGGTGAGGCCATGATATGCTGTTTCGGGGGCAGGGAGAAGTCAGGTCCATGTGGAACTGTGTTGGAGAAATGGTGGGGCTGAATCCGAGCTGCAATAGATGAAAGCTGCAACTGGTCCAGAAAGGCTCCGAGGTCACATAACTGCCCCCAGGCAAACATGGGACACGACTTATACAGCCCCTTTGCTGCGCAGGCAGCTGCACATCCCCAGCCTCTAGCCAGTGTGCAGAGAGGAGCTACAATGCACCGATCCTTGTGTTTTCCTGCCCCTCCTCTGCCTTCCCCCTCCATTTCACCCCCTGCTCAAGGCCTTATCACTGGTCCAGAACCTCTGTGTTAGTGGTGGGCTGGGTTTCATGGCAAGACCTGCTGCTCCTTACCTCTTCCTCTCCTTCTCATCCCCTCACCCCCCAAAGAAGGGGCTGCTTTAGGGCCCTGGGATAGCAACACGACAGCTGTAGCATTGGCTCCTTGGGGCTGTTGCTGTGGGCTACCATAAGTAAATGGCCATCAGTATTTGTCTCTCTCTGCCCGGTTTCCCCTTGGAGCTGGCTGGGCTTGGGGAGTTGAATATTTCATTTCTTGCCTTTTCCATTTGACACGGGCCTCTCTGATCATGATCACCCACCCCCTTGTGTGTGCAGTGACCTGGGCCAGGACTGGTGCTCTGCAGGCACCATCAGGCTGCCTCCCTGGACTTGAGTGTTGGTGACTGCATGCGCAGGGCAGTGGCAGCTCTGCACTTGGTTCTGGGGAACAAGCACCTGTGTCCCTCACACAGCCTTGCTCAGAGGCAAATGGGTGTGTTCAGCTCTGAGCACCTGCCAGCTCAGGTGTAGGTCATCCGCAGCCTGTTCTGTGCTTTCTCTTTCTCTGTCCCTGCAGGGGCTCTGGGTCCTGGAGCTATCGGTGCCATTGTCATTGCCGCTTTCCTGGGCACGTCTGTGATCGTGGCCTTGATTGTCATCACTCTGCGGAAATTCTCGGCCTCCTGAACTCAATAAAAGTCTTTTCATAAGAACTGTCCAGGCTCTTGTGTGTGTCTGTGTGTGTGTTCACTGTGAAAAGCCACAACTCTGCTGTACTCCAAGGGGAAAAGTCAGGATCTCTTCTCTGCTCTACACACCACATGTTCTTACCCTCAGCCAACTGGCACGTCCACACTTCCTGGGATGATGCTACAGCAGCATCTGTTGAGTGCTGTTCAGGTCTGCAAGAACCACATTATTGTGGCCCTTTGCTGGGATCTGCAGTCTGCTCCTCCTTTGTGCTTACCTGCAGCATCCCTCGTTTCGTAGAAATAACTGACAACAAAAAAGCCTTTGCGACACAAGCCGATTGTCTCCTCTGGGTTTTGGCTTGGAATAATCGAGGGAACAGGAAGGATCCAGGCAAGGGCATGGACTTTTTGCCCTTTTGGTTCTCCTTGTGCATGTGCTTCTTACTAGCATCCAGCTGTGCTCACTCTCCTGTCCATCAACACCTTGGGTCACTGTGGGGCCACAATGTTGGCTTCCCCCAGTTGGATTAGAGGAGCCTGGTGCTCTCTGGAGGTCCCCTTCAGTTGCACCTACAGGATTGATACCATATTTACTCCAATCTAAAACAAGGTTTTTTCCCTTGTTCAACATGGTGGGGGGGGACCCTTCTTAGATTTGAGTACAGGCCAGGCAAGCAGTTGCTGTGGCTTCAGACGAGGCCAGGGTGGCTCATGTGGCAGGTAGGGGATGCGTAGAGCAGGGGAAGCATGAGGGAAAGGGCATGGGAGAGTGGAAGTTCAGAGCAAGGGGAGCATGGGGAAGGAGGGAGCGCAGGGAAGGGGTACATGGAGTGGTGGGGGAAGCTGCTGCAGCTCTACCCCTGACCTCAACTGGTGCTGGAGGCTGGAGCCTGAGCCATTGCTACTGCCTGGACTGGCCTGGCTGAGTTCTCCATACCCCTCTCCCCCCATCAGAGATGGTGGCTGCAAAGGTAAGGCAAGAAAACGGGCAGGTACCAGTGGGGAACAAGTCTGGCGGGGAGGGGGAGACATTGAGAGAGGAGAGGTGGCAAGGGGACAAGGGGCATGGAGCAGGCTGCCTACCCCCCAGCTGCTGCTTTCCTTGTGGCAATGGTTGAGGGGATGAATTTGACCCTCCAATAGTTATTGGAAAATTAAATTTATAATCTTTTTATGTCTAGAATCTAATAATTGGGGGGTTGCTTTTAAATTCAAGGGCTTGGGATTTGGGTAAACAGGGTAGAGTCCCACCTTGTTCTGCCCACTGAAGTGACCGTCTCTGCTGTCTTAGGATGTCTTTCCACTTGCAGTTTTGTCCTTTGACTCCCCAGAGATTGCTGAGCGCTCACAGAAGGAGGCTTCTGTCTGCAGCAACTCTGGTCTGTATGAGGTAAGTACTTCAAAGGTGGTGGCAGCAACTGCCTTGGGAATATTGTACTGTCCCCATCAGTGCTACATGTTCCAAGAGTGAAGGACTAGCACAGCAACCGATAGCACTCAGGTGGGGTGAAGGTCCTGTGAAACCGCAACAGGCATTGCCTAGAGACGCCTGTTGTTCCTGCTATCAGACCTCTGGGGCTTCCTTGCCCTCCCTCATTATATATAACCTAGCTCTTCCCATAACCTCCGATGCAAACTGTGGCTATTGAAACACTGCCCTGCTGCCCCTGAGGGATCCAGGGAAGCCAAAGCAGGAGTTCCAGGCCCTGACAGCCTGTGGGCTACAGTGAGAGCCCAGCTCCTTCAAAGCATGATGAAGCCTTAGTAAGACGGTTTGAGTGGGCAGCATCTGGCCAGAGGTAGCAGCAAGTGCTGTGGCAGACCCTTAGGGCACAGCATGAAAACCTGAAAAGCAGTGAGGTCTTGTAGCTGGAGATGGCTCTAAGTAACTAGCAGAGGGGCTGAAATCCTTTCTCCTCAATAGCAGCAGGTCAGGGCAAGCCAGTGTTCATAGGACCCACTTGTGGCCTGTAGAGACTACTCGATCAGTCTACTCAGGTCCTGGCTCCTCTGAACAATCAACATTGTTCATGGAAGACCATCAGCTGAGCTGCTATTTCCAATGTGTTCAGCCAGTGTAAACTCAGTCACAACTAATGGCATCCAACTGCAAACCAGTGTCATCCAGAAGCCCCTGACACTGCCCCCATTCCCAACCTGACTCAGAGCAAAGTTGCACCCCCTCCTCGTGCAGCTACCAGAGGACCCGTCCAGCCCTATTTTTCTATGGTTCTTTGATTGTGGTTTTGCTCCAGGAAGTGCAACTGTGCTGGAGGAGGTAGGTGGGTGTTGGGGTTATGACCTAGAAGAAAATGAACATACACACGCACACACAACAGCCGGTTTGAGAACTTGCTGGCTCAGTCAGCTATATTTTCATCACAAGAAAAACAACAACAACAAGTTCTTTCCATTTTGCTCAGGCAGCCTAATAACAACTGGGATCTCAAACCTGCATTCATGATCCACACACTGAGCCCATCTTACACCTTAGACCACCTGAAACTGATATGTGTTGGTTTGCCAGTGCGAGGAGAGAAGTTGAAATTTTATGAAGAGCAATGCAAATTTAGGGCCTGAAAATCACCAACCGTGTACGTGGCTCTTCAGAGAACTGAAAATTGCAACAGAGCAGCTTCACTTTAGACTTGTTCCCAGGCGTTTGAGGCTGTGGAAAACCAAGATGCCGGCTCTGGGACTGCAGCGTCGGCAGAGACAGGATTGCAGCACTTGGGAATTCTAATCAACTCCGCGCCCTGGCAGCGAATCTTCCCACCCCGCAGCGGGCGAGGGCCGCGGTCTTGCCAGGACTGGTAAATATTCATGGCCACTTTGCGTGGTGGAAAGATCTGTGACCTGGTATTTTTCTCAGGTTCTCAGCTGCTTCTCATAGCTAGGCTGTCCATGTTTTTACTGTGGACAGCTTACTGGTAACCAGCTGCTGCTAAAAATGTTTTGGACCCTGAGTTTAAAATCTGGTTGTACTCAGAAAAGTGACTGTACAATACAATTGTGGCAGTGGGTTTATTATAGTGTCTCCAGATTAGATATGCTCAGTTTACAAGTCAAATGGTGATGTTTTTTTTTTTCCAACTGCCAGCCTCACAATCCCAACCTGGTATCTGCCCTTCCAGCTTCCTCCCTTGTCAGCAGTGATATCCTGAGAGGCTTAATTTTGCCCTTGCGGACATGTGTAGACCTGCGTTCTCCCCAAGGCTGCTTGCAGGTGGCCTTGAACTGCCAGCCCTCTCCAATTTGCTCCTCACTGCTATACCCCAGAGATGTGCCCAGCAGTGAGATGCTTATGCATTTGAACCCTAACATTCCTGTAAGTTTTAATCACTATAGTTACACTGGCACCGCAGAGGTAGTGAGCGCAGGGTCTGAATCTGACTACCCCTGGGGAGTCTGCTGGCTGTGTACAGCATGCTGGTTTAAGTCATCTTTTACATAAACCCGGCCCTGCCGTTGTCTGAATGTGGAAAGCCAGGCTGGCAGTGGTGAGTGCAGAGATCAGAAGCAGCACGAGATGCCTGGAAGACTCTGCTATGCAGCATCACAGAAAGATGCCAAATAATTGTGTTTCCCTGATTTTAATGCAAATAAACAGCTGCCCTTTTCATAGCTAATGGGGCCTCTCGGAAAAGGGCCTCCACGGACCCGTTAAGAGCAGAGCAGTCAGAAACACCCCTTTGTTGCTAAGGTGATTATTTGTGGTCTGTTTCTAGCCATTCGTCCTTCTCAACTCTGTCAAAGCTCTTGATCCCTTGCCCTGCTTCATGCAGTGCTGAGCTGCATCATACTCCCTTGTCCGTTTGGCTACCGAGGACTTCCCTACATACAGGTATGTCAATACTGTACAGACAGTTCATGCACACACAGCTCTTTGACTGGATTTGCTGATGCAGTGCAGCCAGGGCTCAGTGGGCTTTCCTGCAGCTCTAGCACCAGGCCTCCCAGCTCCCTGCTCAACTCCCCCTCATTAAAGACAGGCCTGGTACAGCCAGCTGCCTTTGTGCAAGCTGCTTCCTGGTGTCTGAGCACAGCCCATCCGCTTGGCAGCGCAATCCTCTTCCTACAGAGCTGCCTGCAAACGCTGTAGAGACTGGTGACAATGGTCCGTTTTCACTGGATTTCAAAGAGGAATTGACGATGGATTAACAAAGCCCTGCTGATTTACAAACATGCTGGGGGACAATCTGGGCTGGAAGCTTCTGGCTCTCCTGGGATATCATCTGCGTGTATTGGTTTGATAGCTGGTGGGCAGCCTCACCTGCCCTTTATTTCCTTTTCCCCTGTCCACCGAATGTGTCCTGTGCACCACAGCAAGAAAACCTCATGGACAAATGCTGTCATGTCACATATCTTCTGTGCCCATTTCAGGTGAAGTCCATCATGTTCCCTTCCTCACAGCCCTCTGGCCACCTGACTATTTGTGGACATGACCACCCACTTCTGGAGGCAGGTGGAAGGCAACTTTTGCTGTTCTGTGCTCAGGGAGAAAGCCCTCATGTGGTGTTCGCATGCTTTTGGTGCCCATGGGGTGAGGGAGTGCAAGCGTCAGGTTACATACAGAACCAGAGTGAAAGAAGAGGCATGGATTCTCGCAGGCAGGATCTGGTGAAGCAGCATTGGTCTTGGGTTATAGCTGGCTAGAGCCTTTGGCCTGGAACTGGGTCCAAGGCCCACCTGGGACAGAGGAGTGGGCCCAGAACCTGGGAGTCGGGAAGCAGACGTCCTGAGTTCCAGTCCCTAGTTTGGCGCTGACTTCCTTTGTGACTTCTAGGCAAGACAACTTCTCTGCTTCCATGTCCCCATCTACAAAATGGAGATCTTAAGCCATCTGAACTCATTGGAGTTTCATCCAGCTTCACAAGAGAACATCTTTAAAGTGCTGGGAACCAGAAAAGCACAAAGCACTTGGTAGCAGGATTTGTTCAATTTCCATTACATTCATAGCCAGAGTTTTACAAAAGGTACAGAAGGGTCCAGCTGCAACGTGTGTGCATAGAACTGTTTTATAGGG